TTGTATGAAAGGATGATGTGCCTCCATTTTTAATTCAGAAAAGCAACTGCACACCGTCTATCAAAACTTTAGACCTTTAAAGGATAAACAACGCATTACGAAAACAACTCATTAACTTCCACAGACATGGAAGCATTGCTTAAATCCTACAGCTAATCACCGGAAAAGCAATATATAAATTGGCCACTTGCTATGTAAGCTGTAGAAGGGCCACAACAAATAGAGCTGAACACCATTAGCTGCTCCTTTCAGTTTAGCCTTCTTCCAAATTAACACCACACCAGGCAGCCTCAGTTGAAAAAACAAACACTGGAGAGTTTCTTTGAATAAATAAAGCATTTGTTCCATAGCCAGAGTCAATAGCTACCAGCCTGAAAGACTTTGTCAGGGTGGCCTCACACGTGTTCATGGTAAACACAACACCCAGGTGTACAATCACATTTTCTGCAACACACACTTGAGATGTGAATGACATGCACACCACTGTCAACACAGGGCAGAGTGGCAAATGCATCAGGTAGGGTGGTTTCTGGTATTTGTGTTGTGCTGTGTAATCAGAAGCCAATGTAAATGAAAAAGGACCTGGTTGATATGACTGGAGCACTGAGAAGCAAAGTGATTGTTATCACATATGAAGTCCCATTTAGATTGCGACAAGGTTATTTGAAGGCTGTTTCCCCTCACAGGGACTTGCCTGAGCAGTTTTCAGTATTTAAGGCCCTGATCTTATTTCCAAAGTCTTCTTGTTAGTAAAGGTAGAATTGCAGATATATTTTGGAACTTTTTTCCTTAAGAAGTTCAGTTGGCTTTCTCTCTTCACATTTTTAATCTGCTGGTATTTTTTACCTGTTTGAACTTCCTGACATGATTGCTTTATGTGGAGCATGAATTTAAGGAGTTGCAAATAGCAGGGTTACCTGTTACTGAGACATTTCTGGGGGTTGTAATGAGGACATTACGAAGTAACATTTCAAAGGGAATAGTAGTAGATGTGAAGAACAGTCTTTGGGGGTAATGAGATTTTGTAGTTTTTTGTGTTGCTTTTGGAGGGAATTGAGGGGCATTTTAGGGGGATTTCGAGCATGGTATTTCAAGCTTTATGCTCTTATCTTTTCAATTCTAAATGTTTTTTTGCTCAAGGAACAGAAATGTAACCAGTAATGTAAGGTCACTAAATTTGTTTTCATAATAGTAGTGATAATGAATGAATTTTTCAGCTTTATTTCGGTATGCCTGCATTAGAACCCCCTGAAATGCCTCAGTAATTCCTTACTTCTATAGCACAAAATATTTTTTAAAAGTAACTTATGAAATTCTGGTTTTAAACCCATCACAGTTTTCAGATTTAATGAATATACTTTACTTGTATTTATTCATCATCATCATCATGCACCATTAAATCACTTATGATTTATGGCAACCCTCCCAGGCTCTCCTTTTTTGTGGTATTCAGGGACTGTTGAATTTTCTCAAGGCCGCACATGTGGCACACACACCATCTGCCGTACATGCTCTGAATAATATCCTCTGACCTCTCTCCTAGTAGGCATTGTGGGGATTCAAACTCCTGGCCCCTGGCTCTACTGCTAGGCGCTCCAACCCCCTAAGCTACACCAGCTGTGTTCTCCATTCACATTTCTGTATTTTTAATATGGAAGGTCTCGGGGAGGGGGGGTCCCTTTGGAACTGCTATTGTCATAGGTACATACTTCAATACATACATAACATGAATGCCTGAGGACCATGACTACATTCCAAATGCATGGAAATAAATGTATCATTAAAATAGCACCCATTGTACATTATTTTGTATCATGCAGATAACATCCTTCCTGCAGCGGTTAAACTGCAGTACTACAGTAAAGACCCGGCTCACAACCTAAATTCAATCCCAGACTCAGGCAGTTGGTTTGAGGCTTCCTTCCAAGTAAATTCAGTACCCAGCTCACTGGGAGGGGAGACAATGTGTTGCCTGCATTATTAAACTGTAAACAGCCCAGAGAGAGCTTTAAGCACTATAGGGCAGTATATAAACAGAACATTTTGCTATTTTGCTTTAATATGGTGTAGACATAGCAATCAAGCCAACTGGAAAGCTGGTACAGTACTGAGAATCTCTCAAGATGCTGGATAAGATTAGAGAGCTGCTTGCCCAGTCACCCTTGCTTTGCCGGAAAGGAACTTGATGTCTTCTCTAGAATTAGGATTTTATCTCAAATCTCTCCTGGCTTGGTTTATTGTCAAGCTTTTTCCCCCCAGCCAGATAAGGACTCTGGTTATGTAAAAGTACTTCCCCCTCCAGAAAACTCTGTTCAGTATTTAAAGGAGCCACTTAGGTGCACACTATTAAATTAATTTTTTAAAAAAGCATAAAAAGTTGGAAGAGAAGAGAGTAGACCAGCCTAAAAACACAAGACAATTAAATGAAATGTTAAAGGGAAAAAAACCTCACTGCACTGTGTTCATTGACCTAGAAATATACTTAGCTACCACTCACAGTTTCTTTTTTTTTGGGGGGGGGAAGCAAATTGTAGTGTTTAATGTGAAAAGAATTCTTTACCACTAGTATAGTGTACATATGCAATGCTATACTGAGACCTTATTTTCCAACACTCTTCTGAGAGCAACAGCTGTGGTTTTTTTCTACAGACAGATATGGCTAGAATCATATTCTATGTGCTTTTTGCCCCTAAGTTTGCTCCCACAGCCCTCCGGGGGAACTAACTTACTCTTACCTCCAGCCAAGGACAAAAATTAATCCTTTAATGTGCTTCAAACTCCCATTTATTCTGAAATTCAATGCAATGAAGTAACCTGCAAGCCAGCTGCCATGATACATCTGGCACCTAATAAAACATAAGAAGGATGGGTTTGATCATGTGTGCCAGTAATTAGCCATGAGGCAGTGTTCCCAGTGCCGCTGAAACTCCGCCTCTGTAAGTTCAGCTGGGAGCAGTTCTGTAGACACAGATGCAAATACTCTCTGCTAAGCAAAGTCTCAGTAATATTTATATACCTTTTTGCTGAACAAATCATGTTGGAATTTAAAGGCTTTCTGGGAGGAGGCAGCTGGGTCCTTGAAACTCTCATGTGCACATAATCTTTCCTCGTTCCAAAATAATGACTGTAGTATTTTTGCTAAGTTCCAGCAGGACTGCACAAGTGGTCAAAAATGAAAGGAGGGCTAAAGGGAGCTGAACTTTCACCTACTACATCTAAAGATGTGAATATTATTTCAGCCACACGTCATTTCCAAATACCTTTGACACTTTCTTTAAATCAGTCAAATTTTCTGGACAGGCTCTCTATTTTTATTTATTTATATTATATCACCACCACCACCACCATCATCTTAGAACTGCAGAGCTGGGAGGGATCCTATGGATCATCAGGTCCAGATCCTGTTATGGAGGCACAGTTGAGGAAGCAAACTTCCAGACAGCCAGATACCTAAATCACTGGGCTATGCCATTGTTATCCCCATAGGGGACCCAGGGCAGTCACAACAGCTAAAAGTATACAACAACAGTTTTAAAATACCATATAAATGTCCTATTAAAAATCAATAAAACATATATCAAGTTTAAAAACAGTTTTAAGGTATTTTTAAAAAACCTTTAAAAATCTCTTAAGTGCAATAAGAAAAGCATTTGTGAGACACTTATCGCTTAAAAGTCTCCCTGCAAAGAAAAGTCTTTGCCTGATGATGGACGGGCAAGAGGAAGAGGACAGATCTTGCTTTTCGGGGCAGGGCATTCCAAAGCCTGAGAGCAAACACTGTGTCCTTACCAAGCAAGCTTTGGAAGATTTTTTTAAAATTTTTTATTTGATTTTTACCCCGCCCTTCTAGACCATGTCTACTCGGTGGTGGAACTGAGAGAAGGGCCTCCTCAAAAGATCTTAGGAGGCTTTTTCACTTTTCTAATTCTAACTCACCCCAGGTCCTGATATACTTTTGTCCACAGCTTGGGGTGTTAGTCTGACTTCCGATATACCCTGCTCTCTTTCCTGACGCGATGAAACCAGAATACTATACAGTTTAGCGTCACAGCAAACAGGAATGGAGAATAGGGGAATACTTAATCCCGGTGATGATGGTGATAACTACAGAGCTAACTATATTGGTATGACCATTCTTCTGCCAAGTAAATTGAATGCATTAGGATGTTGATACTTTCTCAGTAAGCACTCAGAGCTAGAAAACAGCTGGAGCTCTCAGAAAGCATCAGATGGCCTGCAATCCTAATTTTGAGACTGAACCTAAACTGCAGGGCTTGTAACCAAATCACATGCCCTAGTTTTTAAACTGTTCTGATTCTTCTCCAACCTTGTGCTTTCTGCATATGCTATGTGTAATCAAGTCTGAACAGATTTATATCAATCCAAACAGGGTTTTCAAAATAAGTGAGATGTTTAAGTATGGTTCCACCAGTGCCATCTCACCATGAACCTGGATTGTGAGCAGAGTTTTGGCTACAGCACTGCAGTTTAACCAGTGTGCCATGAGGCTCCTTAAGGTAGCTTGTTCTGCTCCTGTCATTTTTAGTGGACCTTCTATGCAATATTATTTTTGAGATGGTGCAATTAGGACAATGAGGTACTATCTCAAATGCAGACACAAACAGACTTATATAAAAGACATAATGATACTGGCCTTTCTATTTCAGAATCTTTCCCTAATCAACCTCAGTTCAAAATCTGTCATATTCACCACCCATTCTAGACAATCTCTCTTTGGACGGACTTTTATTATCATTATCGTTGTTGTTGTTTTTATTGTTTGTTCCAACAGCCAAGCAATTAAAATGCCTTCAGTCTAGCGTTTCACTGCAATCCATGTCTGAATCTTTAGAGAGTTCTCAAACAACTAAGGTATTAGCATTACTCCAACAGACCCTGCCTAATTATTGATCTTATATTCAACCCATTTGGAAACACCTGCCTTGATAGGAGGTCAAAATCTTTGGTCAGAGTATTCAATTTCATTATTAGCTTATTACCTGGAAGAAAGGGAATGATTCTCTGCTTAGGATCTTTCTGACCTCCTTCAATTGGGAATTTATCCAGAAGCTGCATCTGCAAAAGAAATATTTAGTGTGAACAATTTAGTCCATTACCCTTTCCCCTTCCTCCCTTCTCAGCATAAATACGGCCCCTTTTTTTGGATCACTCTCAACTGTAACAAATCAAGGAAGTTATAGGAGTAGCTGTGATCAAGAGCAGGAGAGTTTTGCAAAAATACAGTGAAAGGAGGAAAGGTTCCTTAGAGGACAAGATGAATGATATCAGAGTTGGGATTGAACCAAAGTCTGGTGTTCTATAATTCCCAAATTAGTCATTTTATACTTTGCAGAATAAACAACTTGACTTTAAGCTATGTTCTGTGTTGTAGTGAAACAAGCTCCACCTACCCTCTGACAGCCAGACCACCCACCTGATAAAAACTGCTGCTTCAGAACCACCAGGGAAGTTATTTCAATGAAGCATCAGATGTGGTTGTTGGCAGACCTCACATCTCTCCCACACATCACTATGCTTCAAGATGCATCTTGATGGACAGGCATCTATGGAACAGTGGACATTCCAGGAGATCTGGAAACACTCTCTTGCTGGAATCCCTGGGACTTTGTCAGAACAAAACAGAGTTCCTTGCAAAATGGAAGGTTGTATCAACCTTTCTTAAAGACTCTCCCTTTTTTTGCTGACCACACAGATTTGTCTGCAAGCTTAACTCAGTGGGCGGTCACAGCAAATGGCATACATTACACATATACTACACGGAACACTTGGCAAAACATTTTTCATAATAGGACAAATAAATATTTAATCTATAAAAATATTGAACATGAACAGGCAGAAAAAAAATATCTGAGTACAGTACATTTTTGAGTTTAAATGATACATTGTCCTGTTTTCAACCAGTGCAATTAACTAAATACTATGAAGATGAAGTTTCAGGGGGTGGGAGGGCACATATTTTCACCAACATTGCAGGAGTAAAGAACAGATTCTTCAGCTGTACAAGAAAGTGACAAGACCCCAACCCAGCTAGGAGATCTAGAAAATGAAATGGCTGTATAGATGATACAGGAAAGGGAGTTGCTATTAAGTTTTTATTATGGTAGATGAGGTTAGACTTCACCTAGACACCCCCTTCTCTTTTTGTCCTGTATCTTCTAGAAAGACTGTGAGATTCATTGTTTCACAAGCCAGTCTGCTTTTACCTCAATCAAGTTTTCTTCTTATGCAAGTCTAATTGTACTTCTAGAATGAAACAGAACTCTTTTAAAAATAATTCTATATGTGTCTTGTTCTGATATGGAACTAAGTCCCATTGGCCTTTAAGCACAACCCAAGTATTCTCAGCAGCCATAAACCACCAGCCTAACAACTAGCATAGGCATCCTTCAGTCTCGAGAGACTATGGTAACAACCCAAGTATTCTCAGCAGCCATAAACCACCAGCCTGACAACTAGTCTCCAGATTTCCCTGTTTCCTTTCTCTCTCTTTTTCATTTATATCTTATCTTGCTAAAGTGTAAGACTAAGGACAGGAATTGTCTTCTGTTTTTTAATTGACACATAAGCTACTCTGAGAGTCTTTCCAATTGCAGAATATGGTATAACTGTTGTACATTTGACCCAACTCCGGGAGGCAGTGGAAGACTGCAGGGCCTGGCATGCTCTGGTCCATGGGGTCACGAAAGTCAGACATGACTAAACGACTAAACAAACAATTGTATCTAAGAGTTTAAAAAATAGAATTTAGAAGACCGGAGTTTGAATCCTTGCTTGGCCATCAAAATTCATTGGGGGTATGGCAATGCTTACATATCTCATATATTTTGGAAGCCCTACTGGGATCCCCATAAGTTGGATGTGACTTTTAAAAGGAAGTTGAGAAACCATTTATCCTTCAACTCTCCAGCAATGCTACAGTTTCAAGAAAAGAAGATGATGAAATTGACAAGCACTGCAAAGATTAAGCTCCAGGAAAATCTTAGCAAAGATATGGTGCTTGAAATAGTTTGAGAGCAGAAGAGTCCCTATTGACAGACAGCAGAGATTATACACCATTACCTCACATTGCACACTTCCAGAAGAGTTGCAACAAATATCAGTTTGATCATACAGAACTGCAAAATGACTGGAATGAAATTTCCCCAAATCACTTTAAGCCAAGCTTCTCTCACTTAAAATAAAATAAAAACTCGGAAATTGAGGAATGCAAATGTAAATCCAACATGCAGATGTTGGATTTCCATAATAATTAACTGAATATCTGAGAAGAAAACTGTTGCTTTAATGCTTCGTAGATAATTTGTTTCTCTGCTTATGGAGGGAGATTTGTGTGTCTGCTTGTGTTTTTAAAGGGATGTTTTGTTTTCCTGTAGACAGAATTCAGGCTGTCTGGGGTCAGTCATGGTAAGATTACTTTTGTTCAAAGGAGAATGAAGCTATAGTTCAACTCCAGGTTTTGCTGTCACTACATTTTAAGCCAGGAAGACATGTGTCTCGTTTTACTCTTAAGAGTGACTGACTCAGTGTGGCCAGAGCTGAAACAGACACATTCCTATGGGCTATTCTTAGAGGTAGCTTGTTGGCTGATGTGGGCTTTTCTAACCACATCAAGATGGCTTAGCAGCATATAACTAAGCACTATTTATCCACAGGATGGATATTGGTGGAACAAATGCAGCAAATTACAGCTGTAGAGTCCCAAGATCTACCATCAGCAGAACTCTGGTGTGACATAAATTCAAGAGAACCAGGCTGACCGTAAATGTCAGCAATCTGGAGACTGACAGGAGTATCTAAGCCTTAGGTGGTGGTGTGGAAAGCAATGTCAAAGTAAATGTGGTCTGTTTACCAGTATTTTGTGGAGGTAGAAAGTCAGCTAAAGGTTAATCTAGGCCAGTGGAGAAATATCAGATGGAACATTGGGTCGTCATCATCCAATCTGAGTTAAAAATAAACTCTTGCAAGGATACACAGGTAGCTACTGAGATCACACCTTGATATTTCCTTACTTTTTCCTTCCTCCTAATAGCTTAATTGTTTTTAATCATTAAATTTTAATGTAAAGAAATAGAAAACTGCATAAAGACTGGACGCATCAAAAAGTCCTACACTAATGGCTGAACTGTTGTACATCAGGAATGGCAAAAACATGAAGACTCTCTCCTTTCCCTCTCTAAAACAGCAGGTTAACTGGCTCACAGTTTTAAAAGGTAATTTTAAAGCATAGCTGTTTCAGTTAACTCTCAACACCTCCCCTGCTGTAACAATAGCATAGGACCCACTGGAAAATCACAAAGTAGTGCACTCTCTTTCACATTTCCATGGAATATCTCCTCAGGCAAGCTAAATGTTAACGAAAAGAGAGAGCCAATGTTTGCTAGCATAGGTCAAAGTACTAATCAATAATTTTCTTTCTCAAACAAGCACAGTGACAAGAGGTTTGAGTAGCTCAGTTTGAAGAATGAGTGTGGAATATCTGGGCTGCTGCTCCCATCATCCCCACCATTTTCTATGCTGGCCAGAAGCTGCAGCTAGGGCTGTCCTCTTACCCACTTGGCAAAGTTTTATCTGGATTTTAGGCATGCCACCTGACACCTGTTTAGGTTACCCAGATTCCAAGCTTTCATTTAAAAACACATAAGTTTCTTGGCTTTATTGAACCAGAGATATAAAAGGAAAAACATCCTGTCACTGTTCTGGACAATTGTTTTGCAAGAAACAAGACTTTCTATATGATTAGCCAGTGAGTAAAGCCATCTGCAATCTGAGAAAAGAGAATATCTCAGACGTGTAAACAAATTCCTGTTGGTAGCTCCGATGACACTGTCCAACCATCTCATCCTCTGTCATCCCCTTCTCCTCTTGCCTTCACACTTTCCCAACATCAGGGTCTTTTTCTCATCAGATGGCCAAAGTATTGGAGCCTCAGCTTCAGGATCTGTCCTTCCAGTGAGCACTCAGTTTTGATTTCCTTTAGAATGGATAGGTTTGTTCTCCTTGCAGTCCAGGGGACTCTCAAGAGTCTCCTCCAGCAATTCAAAAGCATCAGTTCTTCAGCGGTCAGTCTTCTTTATGGTCCAGCTCTCACTTCCCTACATCGCTACTGGAAAAAACATAGCTTTGACTATGCAGACCTTTGTCAGCAAGGTAATGTCTCTGCTTTTTAAGATGCTGTCTAGGTTTGTCATTGTTTTCCTCCCAAGAAGCAGGCATCATTTAATTTCGTGGCTGCTTTCACTATCTGCAGTGATCATGGGACCCAAGAAAGTAAAATCTGTCACTGCCTCCATATAATTCCCTTCTATTTGCCAAGAGGTGGTGGGGCCAGTGGCCATGATCTTAGGGGTTTTTTTTTATGCTGAGCTTCAGATCATTTTTGGCACTCTCCTCTTTCACCCTCATTAAGAGGTTCTTTAATTCCTCCTCACTTTCTGCCATCAGAGTGGTATCATCTGCATATCTGCCCCCATGCTCTACTATTATGCATTTTATGGTTTTTCTTGCTTTGGCAGGGAGTCAGACTCAATAACCATTGAGGTCTTTTCCAGTTCTATCATTCTAGGACTCTGTGGCTGAAATCCTGTTACTTAGCACAGTAAGTTGAACTACAATAGTCTCACTGAATCTGTCTCACAGGAAATTCCATTAGCATTCTATGGTGAGGAGGGCAGTGGTTTGTCATCAGGAAAAAACTGACAGGAAAAAAAATCAGTAACCTCATGAGAACATCATCAGAAGCCCAAGAACACCAAGTAAGTTTTGTGACTAAGCAGGGATCCATGGGTCTCCCAAAACCATCGATCTAACTGGCTGTACCAGATCAACGGTTACTAAGGCAATGGTGCCAAAGCTAAAACATATTGGTAGAAAAGCAAAAAAGCAATTAACATGCTTAACTGAAAATACAGTAAGGTAGTCTAATTTGTACAATAATATGAAAAGGGACATCAAATTGAGAGATCTGGAAGAGAGAATATGACAAGCCATGTTTCATTGCTCCTCAGTGAAAGCTGGAGAGCCCTGAAATAAGGATTGCATTCCAGGAAGCTTAGGTG